TACATACCGTCATCTGTAAGCGCTAAAATATTCACGCAAACCAATATACACTTATTAGGATGTTTTGTTTTTTTTACAAGACATGCAGCAGAATACATTGTGGACTAAATCCGTCCTGATGAAGAAACATGCATGCTCCGAACACGTGCCACGCCTACTGCTGCTGTACCTGGAGGTGACATCACTCCCGCCTGCCCTGAGGATCCACACCGACCAGGAAGTGCTGGGAACGACCAGCACAGCCAGGGACAGCGGCCAGGAGTTGCACAGCGGATGACACCACTTTGACAAGCGCTCATTTGTCTACTACTATTGTGAGGTGCCAATTTCATGGAAAAAAATGATTTGCCGTTATTGCTGCACTCAAATAACATGGTGACTCCTGGGGCTCAACCCAGCCGGCCTGTTCAAAACGTAAGAGTCATAAGTGAGAGGGCAAATGTAGAGACAAAGCTAGTAGGCTCTGGAAGGTACGCCGCAGCTAACTCAGGGATGTGGAATTTGTATGCCCGGGATATGTAGTTCTGGGAGTCGGTCAGGTAGCTTTTTACAACATTTAGCCCTGCGGCGGGCAAGCAGCAGGACGCACCTGTCAGGTGAAAGCATTCAAACAGAAGCGCCCCCGCCCGAGTGCTTTCACACTGTCCACCACGGAGCCGGCCTCGGCCGCCTGCACATTGTGAATGGTCCTACAGTCCTCTGGGATCTTTCACGTGTCCAAAAAGACTGCATGGGGGGGCGAGGGGAACTTCCACATCCGATCGACTAGGAAATCAAAATGGAAAAAAGGGAGCGGGTACCTGTCCAAAGGTGCCAATCCATAATGGGGAGCAGGGGGACGAGGCCTTAAATCATAACTTACCCTTTTGGGTGGCGCACCGCTTTAACTACACTTACTGTACCATTTACAGTGTTACAAGTGGCGCGCCTCATTTGGACACAACAGATTCAGGTATAGCTGCGCCAATTTCCATTTGAGAGTGAAACAGAAACTAGCGCTGGTCTGCACCGAATTAACAGAGTGAGCATGGCAGTTTCCATGAAGAAACTTCTGCAGATTCCCGCCAGGTGCAACCTTGTCACACGGGATGTGAGCTGTCGGCATCCCTCTCCGTGCAGGGATGGCACTACACGAGCAGAGCCTACTCATCCTCTACAACCCCCCTCTTGCCTCCCACTCAGTTAAGTAGGAAACAGGGACGGCAGAGAGATCGGAGCATGCAGCTCCAGCTCTCCTGTTCTCTGTGCTGTACCAGCCACAGAACAGAGAACTGGTCACTCTTAAAGTGGAGTTCCACCTAAAAAAAAAAAAAAAAAAAATCAGCAGCTACAAAAACTAACTGCTGACTTTGAAAATACAGCCACTTACCTGTCCCTCTGTCCAGCAATGTCCTCACCACCTCTGGTTTCACCGGCTGTCTTCTCTCCCTGGTGCAGGCATCTTCAGTGTGGGCACCCGGCTGTGACAGCCTGCGGATTCACAGCCAGGTGCCCACTGCGCATGGCCCCGTAGTCTTCTGGGATCTGTCACATGTCCCACAAGACTACGGGGAGGGAGGGGGGAGGACAACTTCCGTTTCCGATCACCTAGGTGATAACAGCAGAAGTGGGTACCTGTCAAATTTGGGAACACGCTCCCCCCACCCCCCCAAAGCTGCCAATCTTTATTGAGGAGCGGGGGACAAAGGCTGAAAGTGAAACTTCCCGTTCTGGGTGGAGCTCCGCTCTAAGGGGGCTTGTGCCCCTATGTTAAATAAGAGCAGCATCTGCTGCATTTTTATGCTGAGAAGAATGGTGCAACCTACAGATACACAACTGTTTGGTAATTCCCCCCAATTATAGTAATTAACCCAACCAGCAGACCCCCCCCCGATCTGTACAGGACACTCACCATGTATGTGCCTTGGGCAGGTTGTTGGTGTTTGCATCAATCTGATGGATTGTGAAGAGCCGCGGGCCGGCTGCACCTGTAAATGGGAAAATAAAATGTTACCGAAATCTGCAGAGTGGAAACCTAACAAAACCTTGTCAGACTTTAATCCGATCCAAACCCCACCCCACAGGTTCTCTTCGATCATATGTCCCCAATCTGCAATGTACCCACCAAGGAACCTGCAGTAGTAGCACCCTTTCCATAATCCACAGTAAACAAACAGCAGGGCTATGGGGCAGTCTGTACCGCCCTGTATGTGGTTAGCGGCCCACAAATCTCCAATCGTTTCTGAAGAACAGCCGCTGCTTCACTCGTGCGTTCAGGATCTTCGTCTGGAGTAACAGTATGATATTACCACCCCCCCCCCCTCCAAGCAGGTGACAGGTTACCTTGTAATGCTTTGAAGCCTTGCAGAGGGACGCGAGACGATCCGGTGACAAACTGCAGTAGCCGCGCTCTCCTCTCCTCATCGAACGACTCCACCGCCTTCCAGAACCATTTCACAATGTTGCTGTCCGGCGTGCAGTGTTTTTAATCGGGTGTTAGCTTTCCAATCGTTCACATCGATCTTACCCAGCCCACAAATGATGAGCTGAAAGGAAGAGATGGAGATCATCAGCTCACGTATGGTTCAAGACCCACCGCCCCATTTGATGGCGTGAAACCATCTCTAGCTTGTGGCCCACACAGTGTCCTCACCTCCAGCTCCTTCTCATCGAATGCCTTCAGCAGGTGTTGTGGGATAACTTCATTAAATCCTTTCTGCAGAGCCAGGAACTGCGCTTCGATCCCCCGCAGAAACCGCCAGTTCACGTACAATCTGGAATCACAACGGCAGAGGATTAGTTCTACACATTCTGGCCTACAACTTCCTCTGTCTGTCAGGGTCCCAACTTCCTGCAGGCAACAGAATAGCCCAAGTGTATTGGAGGACTGAGGAAGTCACATGACGTTACGTGTGTGGCCCGAGCCAGGGCATTAGGAACCCAACAAGTCACGGAAGTCACATGATGATATGCGTGTGGGCAGAGCCAGGGCATCAGGAACCAGCAACCGGAAGTCACATGACGATGACATGTGTGGGCAGAGCCAGGGCATCAGGAACCAGCAACCGGAAGTCACATGACGAAACACGTGTGGGCAGAGCCAGGGCATCAGGAACCAGCAACCGGAAGTCACATGACGATACACGTGTGGGCAGAGCCAGGGCATCAGGAACCAGCAACCAACACATGACGAAGTCACATGACGATACACGTGTGGGCAGCCAGGGCCAGGGAAGTCACATGATACGTGTGGGCAGAGCCAGGGCATCAGGAACCAGCAACCGGAAGTCACATGACGATAACGTGTGGGCAGAGCCAGGGCATCAGGAACCAGCAACCGGAAGTCACATGACGATACGCGTGTGGGCAGAGCCAGGGCATCAGGAACCAGCAACCGGAAGTCACATGATGATACGCGTGTGGGCAGAGCCAGGGCATCAGGAACCAGCAACCAGAAGTCACATGACGATACGCGTGTGGGCAGAGCCAGGGCATCATGAACCAGCAACCGGAAGTCACATGACGATACACGTGTGGGCGGAGCCAGGGCATCAGAAAGCCGGAACCAGAAGTTATGTGGGAGGAGCGGCCCCCTCTGCTTATGATTTACCCGTGAAGTTTTATCCAATGTGACTGCAGTTTTGTTTTATATAAACCACGTATATTTTAATTTGCTACACTACGGAGATATCCCTTTACATGAGAGTACACTGCAGAAACGTGGATCGTGGATTAAAGGGCCAGGCTACTAAGAATTTAGAGTACACCATAGAGAGGACCTAGGATGAGACAATGGACACAGGGCAGTCAGTATATAGGAGAGGAACAGGCGTAAGGACCCCATTTAAGGGAAACAAGGGCTCATGACCTCTAAGAGGACAGGTCTATGAGTGGATGTGAACACAAGATTGAACGATGGTGAATGCACGTTTGCATGTTTAACCGTTTCAATACCGTGCAATTTTACACCTTCCTGCCCAGGCCATTTTTCAGGTTTCAGCGCTCTCACACTTTGAATGACAATTGCGCGGTCATACAACACTGTACCCAAACTAAAATTTTATCATTTTCTTCACACAACTAGAGCTTTCTTTTGGTGGTAATTAATCACTGCTGGGGTTTTTATTTTTTGCTAAATTAACAAAAAAAGACCAAAAAATTTTAAAAAAAAACCCCACATTTTTCTTTGTTTCTGTTATAAAAGTTTACAAATAAATAATTGTTCTTCATAAATTTAGGCCGAGATGTATTCTGCTACATGTCTTTGGTGAAAATAACCCAAATTAGGATGTATTTTTTAGTTTGTAGGAAAGTTATAGAGTTCACAAACTATGGTATAGATCTGATTATTGATCAATCCTGAAGTACTGATGGCCAATCTAATTTCTTGAGGTCCAAGAATGTCAGGACAGTACAGATATCCCCCAAATGTCAGGACAGTACAGATATCCCCCAAATGTCAGGACGGTACAGATATCCCCCAAATGTCAGGACAGTACAGATATCCCCCAAATGTCAGAACAGTACAGATATCCCCCAAATGTCAGAACAGTACAGATATCCCCCAAATGTCAGAACAGTACAGATATCCCACAAATGTCAGGACAGGACAGATATCCCCAAATGACCCCTTTTTGCAGAGTAGACAGTCTGACGTACTTCATAACAGGCATGGCGAGCTTATTTCTTTTTTTTTTTGAAGTTGTATTTTTTTGTCATATTTTTTTTCGGAAAATGTATAAAAAATAAAAAAAATTATTTTCACTATTTTTTTTTTTACATACTGTCACCAGTGCAGTACAGCGTCATCATATAACTGGCATGGCGAGTGAACAGGGACACTGACTGGTGACAGTATGAAAAAAAATATATATATACACTTTATTAGGACTTGAAGTTGTGGATCCGATTTATTTTTAATGAATGTGGTAAATGTAGGTAATCTGCAATAAATCCACATTTTCCATTGTGATTAACATCCTATTAGACTTTTATGGCGATTGCTGAGGCCGCACCAACCTGACGTATTCCTTTTTGGTTTCTTCAGTCACTGGGATGCTCTTCCCGTTCGGCTTCAGCTCGTGTTGGATGAGTTCACCGTAGGCGCTGTGTTCTACGCAGAACGTGTGATCCAACACCGCCGTGATGTCATTCTCTCTGGATAAAGAAGACAAACGCTGTCACAGAAATCAGAGAGCGCCCCCCACACACAAGAAGCAGCTATTTTGTCGAGTAACTTACAGAATCCAGACCAGGCTGTTGTGCAGGTCGGGGTCTACAGACTCCATGTCGTCCAACGTGATGGGTTTCCCAAGCAGCTGCTTATAAAAGGGTAACGTGAAGCCTCCGTCAATGTAGTGCCCATGAAATACCGCCATGCCCATAATCCTGCCCACAAAATGGAAATAGGAGAGATGTTCCTGGAGATGGGGAGAAGCACATCTGTTAGGGTGAGACTGGAATCGGCGGTTATAGGTCACGGCTCTACTACCGGTGACCAATGTTCACTTCATGTGAGAGAAGGGCAGTTCAGACAGAAGAGAAGGACGGGAGCCACGTACCGGGTTGACCGCAGAATCTGGGTTGATCTGTAGTGTGTAGATGTCGTCACGGGAATACTGGAAAAGGCCGTAGTATGGATTCAGCATCTCGTGAGACAACAGGTACAGCCACTCTCTGCAGAATGAGAAAGAGCCGAGACTGAAGAAATATATTCTGGAATATTAATCATTGAGTTGTTCAGGAAAACACTTGTCTGCAGCAATAGGACGCTTCCTATGACTTCACAGGCACCCCGCTCTCCCCAGCATGAACAGGGCCCCCCCTACTGGAGTACTTGCTGCATGTAGAGCACAGCAGTGTAATGTGCTGGGACAGCAGAGACATCTGGGGGGAACCAGCGATGATTTCCTTGCTGTAGCTTCTCCTATGTTAAAAGCTCCAGTCCCCACTCACATCTGAACGTTCTAAAATCACCAGCAGGATCGCCCAATTCTAGAACACGGTAAAATCAACCCACAATGTTCATTTGGGTGCCATTAGTGTTTATAGCACCCCAAACACGCAAAAGAAAAAGGCACTTTGTCGCACACCAAAATGCACCAAAATGCGTCATCTAAAAGTCAAAAAAAAAAAAAAAAAAAAAAAAAAGAAGAGGAAGATGCATGAACTACTTTACCACATTTTTGGAGCAGACAGCGGACCATTTAAATGAATAGTGCTGCTCCAAAAACACACCAAAAAAAAAAAACCCCCAAAAAACACATAAACAAGCGTTTAAACCATGACACTGCCATCATTACCATCGTTAGATTTGAATGGGGCTTTCATCCCAGGGGACAGCAGGAAAAAACAAAGCGGAACTTCGACCATATGGGGAAGTTACACTTTTCAGCCTCCCCTCCTCTAATACTTCTGGACACAATTTTTCATTTCTTTTTTGGAGAGCGGGTACGTAGCTTTGACAGGTACCCACTCCTACTTCCGCTCAGAAGTTTGGCCTCCCTCCCTTAGCCCGCAGCTTTCTGGCACACGTCGCAGATACCAGATAGCTGCGGGACCATTCACAAAGCGCAGTGCGGCTCGTGTCGCTAGGATTCACAGCCGACTTCCCTTCGTAAACATGCTGGTACCAGGGACCTGAAGACCGGAGAAGAACAGGCCCAGGTGAGGATGGCGCTGGATCCCTGGATATGCAAGTGCCCTTTTAGTCAGCAGCTATGGTATTGACGCTTACATCTTTTTTTTTTGGGGGGGGGGGGGGGGGGGGGGGGGCACAACTAAAGATCCTCTTTAAGGTTGTAGTAACAGATTTGCTTTACCCGCCCACCACAAACAGCAGAAAACAAGCATGTTGCAAGCGAAGGCAGGGGCTAACCTATCAGCCCATACTTGTTCCAGTCAATGACTGAAAGCAGTAGTAAGCCGCAAGAAAGAAAGAACAAAAAAGTCCCCTGAAAGGTAATATCACAATGTGCTAGTATGGATCGCACACAAATGAGGGATCGCACACAATGAGGGATCGCACACAATGAGGGATCGCACACACAATGAGGGATCGCACAATGAGGGATCGCACACAATGAGCACACAAGATCGCATACTAGCACATTATGGACAACTTGCCTTACAACGAAGCCCTCCAGCGGCACGCTGTCACCTCTGCAGAGGCTTCCACCTTCACCCGGTCCTTCTTCTGGGTTCGTAATCTCTGGCTGTCTGACAGGCCGGGTCATGATGACGTCACTCCTGCGCATGCGCCCAGGATGGCCCACGGCACACAGCTCTGAAGGAACAGCACGGGTATGCCATTCCTTTAGAGAGCATACGCCGGCTTTAGGAAAGAGAGAATATCTCCTAAACAGTGCAAGGTTAGGAGATATTCATTCTACCTACAGGGAAGTTTTATTATAAGATTACCTGTAGGTAATATAAAAAACGAGTTCACTGCCACTCACTACCTCTTACTGCCGCTCACTACCGCTCACTACCTCTTACTGCCGCTCACTACCTCTTACTGCCGCACACTACCGCTCACTACCTCTTACTGCCGCTCACTACCTCTTACTGCCGCTCACTACCTCTTACTGCCGCTCACTGCCGCTCTCACTGCCGCTCACTGCCGCTCACTGCCGCTCACTGCCGCTCACTGCCGCTCACTGCCTCTCTTACTGCCGCTCACTACCTCTCACTGCCGCTCACTACCACCTCTCACTGCCGCTCACTACCTCTCACTGCCGCTCACTACCTCTCACTGCCACTCACTACCTCTCACTGCCGCTCACTACCTCTCACTGCCGCTCACTACCTCTCACTGCCGCTCACTACCTCTCACTGCCGCTCACTACCTCTCACTGCCGCTCACTAACCTCTCACTGCCGCTCACTACCGCTCACTGCCACTCACTACCTCTCACTGCCACTCACTACCGCTCACTGCCACTCACTACCTCTCACTGCCACTCACTACTCACTACTGCCACTCACTGCCACTCACTACCTCTCACTACCTCTCACTGCCACTCACTACCTCTCACTGCCACTCACTACCTCTCACTGCCACTCACTACCGCTCACTGCCACTCACTACCTCTTACTGCCGCTCACTGCCGCTCACTGCCGCTCACTGCCGCTCACTGCCGCTCACTACCGCTCACTACCTGCCGCTCACTGCCGCTCACTACCGCTCACTACCTCTCACTACCTCTTACTGCCGCTCACTACCTCTTACTGCCGCTCACTACCTCTTACTGCCGCTCACTACCTCTTACTGCCGCTCACTACCTCTTACTGCCACTCACTGCCGCTCACTGCCGCTCACTGCCACTTTCCAGCTGAACTCCAGGCAGTAATAATACCTTAACAATAGTCAGCTTATGACTTTCTTGAACAATGTTCTGTACTCTTCCCCTCTGCCTCCTGTGTCTAGCGAGTCAGCATCACATTTTGTAAATCCAAGCCCCTGCCGTGTACTTCCATCTCACAATTCGGTCCAGTACTTCTCCCTCCCTTATGCAGGAGGCTGGCCCATCGTAGTCTTAAGTCTGCAGCGCTGCCATGATGGTGTTCCATGGAGCGGGAGGATTCCTTCCTCCTTGGACTTTCCACGCCCACTGCTTATCTGGCATCATGCCAATCACGTGTGCTGCCTATCACCATTACCTTTGTTCCAAAGAATCATGGGACACGTTGTTCTGGGAGGTGCCCGAGACATTAGGGACATTTCCTCCAGTCATTCTGGGCTCCCCCACTGTAGGATACACAACACACTGTGATCTTTACGTACCTGGCCACCCCTCCATAGTCCAGCCCTTCTTCCCCACGGAACTTGATCATAAGTCTCTTCCAAAGGTCCTTCGGCCTCATCTTCATCACCTGCCTGTAGGACTCCTGTAATTCAGAAAACATCCGTTCAGTGAGCAGAGGAGAGGAACTCCTGACAGACTGGGAATGCTGACAGCGTCCCCACTGACACCCTCTCTATATGTCTGTAGGGAGAAAGTGAAGGGAAATCCATAATGTAACCGTTGTCACCTGAACAGGAAATAGAGGAAATTCTTCCAATGGGGACACTTGTTCCTGTGACAACTATCTAAGGAGGGATTTTCCTCACTCCTGAGAAATGCTTCTTGTGGTGTCTCCCGGATAGGCAAGAAGGGAAATTTCCATAATGGAGCTACAGACAGCAATAAACATTGGCATCGCTCCGAGCCCTTCCCCCTGTAAATTTTGGATGCACCCGAAAACATGAGACAAGGTCCCGATGGTAATCTTCCAGCACATTCCAGAGCGATATCCAAAAAGGGCAAAGAATAGCCAGATTAGACACTATGCTGAAGGAGGACCCCACCCTTTCTATACATAACCATGGGAATCAAGTTTTATAATAATGACTGCGTAGGGGAGCAAAACGTGTCACATGTCACTCCCCGCAGGTGACATCTTTATAGCCAATCACCAGACAAGAACATAGAGAAGGACGTACCTCGAAGATCTCCTCCCGGGACACCTCGATGCGGCAATGTCCAGCTTGAGGCTGCTGCTGGGACAACTCCTGTCTCAGGATCTTCAGTTTCTGCACCAGGTCTCTCTTATAACGGGGGACGGTCAGACAGTCCACGTCATCGGGGAGCTGACATAAGGACACCACCTGAGGGGGGTGGCGGAGGTTGCTGCTGCTGCTGCTGCTGTTGGTCTTTTAGCTGGTTCTGGCGGCTGTGAAGAGACCGAAGAATTCATTAACTGATCACTATACAGGCTTCGATCGATCACAACGGGGGTGGGGAGAGGGGGTTCTGTGATAGCATCAATCTCCCTCCATAAAGATCAATATTAGGGACTCCCATGACACCCTAATGACCCACATTCTCCAGGATTGATCTCCTTGCAAAATTCTCAGCTTCTTGCAGGATCCTTACCCCCCCCCCTCAACATGCTTACATGTGGAAATGGGAAACAGATCTCGACATTTCCCCAGAACCACAATGGTAACAAATTCGGGAATCCAACAAACTATGTTGCCAGGATACACTCGCACGCAAACAGACTATCGTTGGTCTCGACTGAAATTGCCGGTATACCCGGACAGGCTGGGATCTGTTTTAGGGAAATCTATACCGGCCAATTGATGAATGTGAAATATATACCGTATATACTCGAGTATAAGCCGACCCGAATATAAGCCGAGGTACCTAATTTTTACCACAAAAAACTGGGAAAAACTATTGACTCGAGTATAAACCGAGGGGGGAGGAATAGTGCCCCATCATTGGTGTCAGTGGGGGGAGGAATAGTGCTCCATCGTTGGTGTCAGTGGGGGGAGGAATAGTGCCCCATCGTTGGTGTCAGTGGGGGGAGGAATAGTGCCCCATCGTTGGTGTCAGTGGGGGGAGGAATAGTGCCCCATCGTTGGTGTCAGTGGGGGGGAGGAATAGTGCCCCATCGTTGGTGTCAGTGGGGGGAGGAATAGTGCCCCATCGTTGGTGTCAGTGGGGGGAGGAATAGTGCCCCATCGTTGGTGTCAGTGGGGGGAGGAATAGTGCCCCATCGTTGGTGTCAGTGGGGGGAGGAATAGTGCCCCATCGTTGGTGTCAGTGGGGGGAGGAATAGTGCCCCATCGTTGGTGTCAGTGGGGGGAGGAATAGTGCCCCATCGTTGGTGTCAGTGGGGGGAGGAATAGTGCCCCATCGTTGGTGTCAGTGGGGGGAGGAATAGTGCCCCATCGTTGGTGTCAGTGGGGGGAGAAATAGTGCCCCATCGTTGGTGTCAGTGGGGGGAGAAATAGTGCCCCATCGTTGGTGTCGGTGGGGGGAGGAATAGTGCCCCATCGTTGGTGTCGGTGTGGGGGGAGGAATAGTGCCCCATCGTTGGTGTCGGTGGGGGGAGGAATAGTGCCCCATCGTTGGTGACCCCTGCTCCAGCCTGGGCTCGCTCGCTCCCTCCCTCTCCCATGGTACACACTTACCGGTCAGATGTCTTCCTTCTCCGGCCGCTCTCCTCCTCTTCACTCACTCGATCTTCGCGGTGCCGCTTGGCTCCTCCTCTCCAAGCTCCACCTCCTCGCCGATGATTGGCCGCCGGAACTGTAGCTCAGGAGAGGCACACAGGCGCCCAATCACCGGCGAGGAGGTGGAGCTTGGAGAGGAGGAGCCAAGCGGCACCGCGAAGATCGAGCGAGTGAAGAGGAGAGCAGCCGGAGAAGGAAGACATCTGACCGGTAAGTGTGTACCATGGGAGAGGGAGGATTGATCCCGGGGGTGTGTCCAGATGACAGGGACGGCATGTCATCTGCAGACGTTGACTCGAGTATAAGCCGAGGGGGCCGTTTTTCAGTACAAAAAATGTGCTGAAAAACTCGGCTTATACTCGAGTATATACGGTAACCTTTATTTAAATATCTAGAAAATGTACGCTCAGCTGTAATGAATGCCTATTGGAGTGGAATGTACTGCGCACAACAATATGACTGGATGGAAGGTAAATAATTGCAATGGTATCCAAATGGTTTAATAACACCACACCAAACCCAATACCATACCGATTAGATGAAGTGACGGCATACAGAGAGGCCCTGTAGTTTGATCATAAACCTGTCAGCTTGAATATATAATCTCTGTTATGGAAATGGAGTTGCCCCCCCCTCATGGACAAAACTAATTAGATAGAATAATGTATCTTGCTACAGATATGTAATACGGGTCACTCACCCACGGGCTTAAATGTCAGCCTCTCATGGAGAAGCCCCATACATCACCATATCCAGACAAAAATACCTGTCTTGAGGAATGCAAATGATGCACTGTAAAACGCAGTACAGACCTCTATAAAAGGGGGGGATCTGTTTTTGGGGTCGTTTGGAATTGGGCGCCCACCCCCACATATAGTATACTTGCCCAATTGCCCATACTCTATGAACCCAGGTCTACAATATGTTGCACATAACCTTTGCGGCTGATATCCTGATGCTACCTAGGGTGGCGCCACTTAAACCAAACGGGCTTTAATGCCCAATAATGACTTATGACTCGTATATTTACAGCCAACAAGCACAACATAGCCAGAGCCCAGTTGACCAACTCTCTTGATGCCGTAAAATCTTAGGTGCTCACAAACGATAAATTGATCGCCAAACTTACTTGACACTTTGAGGCTGACACAGAGCTGCACCAGATTTTGCATTCTCCAGTTTTAGTAAATCAACCCCTATGCGTACCTTCCATAAAACCAGTGACACATGGATTTCAAAATGTAGGCCGTCAGAGGAGTGAGCTTTTCCTCTGATTCACATGATCTCTCTCTCCTGATGTAGTAGCTCTGAGCTCAGCGTCTGAGTTCACTCCTGTGATGGAGGAGGTGAGCAGTAATGACTAGGCCTCACTTAGCAACATCTTGGAAGTACTTAGCAATGTCCTGCGAGTATTCCAGTCATGCTTCATGAGGTACGTAAATGGCCTACACCTATAGAAAGCACATTATTCAACTTTAGTCAGAGCTGCACAGGCTCTACAGGCACCCCTTACCTGGATCAACAGATTTTTTTGTAAAGATGAACTATCCTTTTAAAAAAAAACAATAAAAACTATTGAACAAAAGAGCCACAACATAACTAATAAACACAGGAATAAATCCAGCGCCGATGCTGCTCTGTCACCCAGTGTACAATGGAGAGTGTGGCGGTAGATGGGTAACAGGAAGAGCGGAATGAGAATTCCAGTCCTAAGCTATCAACTCTGAAAATTACGGAAATGAAAAAAATAAAATAAAATACGCAAAAATGTCAGACTGCAAATTATAGCTGCTTTGAAAATGCTGCAGCGAGTGCAAAATTCTGTCCCCTTACGGAGAAGAGGTTCATCCTGGCAGAACAATCTCGGGGACACAGACTGACGCTGGACATGTCCAGAATCTCCATACACAATCTGGCCAGATAAATAGGAGTCTCCTATAATTACAACCACGAAAAAAAGGGCAGTCGGGCTGGAATGATGGTCTATAGCAGCCAATATAGAGACTCCTCAATTGGCACTGAATTTATCCCCAATAACACTGTTCAACAAATTTTTTTTATTTTTTGCCAGTTTTGGAAACAAAAGGATCCATTTCTTAATGAATTTCACATTCTGAGTTCAAATATAACAATGAAATTTGTCAATTGGCTCTAGTTTTTCTGTAAACGGAAAGTTTTCTACTATAGGCGTAATGACTACATAATGCACAATAATTATATAGATAGATGTCTTTCCACAAATATAAAGCAAGTGATATTGACTACATAACAGCCTAAATGGCAGAATATATTGCATAGGATTACCAAGAAAAAATGATAGCCATAAGCTAAGTTGAATCATTTTAATACTTAGGATTCTCACTAGTTTTGTCTTCAGTTTGTGTCGGTTTTGCTTCTCTTGGCTTTTCTCTTGTATTCGAGGAAAGGGCTATATCTTACAACTGCACGTGACGACACGCTTCAGGTTCTTCCTCACTTGACTCAACCACGAAGGATTCTGGTGCTTTAGGAATTGGTAGCCCCTCTCCATGAGGAACTGGACGTATTGCCGATGGAATATTTGGATATTTTTTCTTCTTATTTAGCCCTTTTTACAATTGGAGGCACCATACAAAAGTAACAATTACTAACATGATCTGTTGGCTCTCTCCAAATCATTGGCACAGCAAAAGGCATAGATGCCTTTTTTCCATTCAACCATTGCTCCAGTGCCGTCCCACAAGAATTGCAGCATATATGTGGTGCCCAGCTCTTGTCCTGGTCTCCTATCTTGCAGCCAAAATACAAGTTGTAGGCTTTCTTAATCATTCCTGTTATCCTCCTTTTTTGTGAGATAAAAGTTATTTCACCGCAGATATAGCAGAAA